GGAGCTGACTTTGCCTGCGATGACTGAAAAAGACATCGAGTACTTCAGCCTTTTCACCATCCTCTGTCACTAAGTTGCCTCCCCCATTCAGTAAGGGACCCACACTTTCCCTGATCTTCCTCTTGTTGTTGACATACTTGTAGAAACCCTTCACACTCCTTGCTAGCTGCAACTCCAAATTGCACTTTGGGCATGCAGGGATGAAGTCAGGAAGGTCAAGCAATATTCTTATACTCCTCCCTAGTTGTTTGTCCAAGTACAAGATGAAGAGGAGAGAGCACATCAAACACATTTGCTGTGGATCTAGGAAATCAAATCAAGGCCATTTGCCCCTCCAAACCATACATAACACATACCCGCATTCCTATGGCATAGACTATACGTATATTCCTTTCCAACATACAGCTAGCCTCCAAACTGTACAGCTAATCATTTGTGCTCCATTTATAGCCCAGAAAGAGGTGCAGAGGAGTATGGAAGCCTTGCAGCTGACTCTGCAACAGCAGGACCTTTGAATCTTCCAGGTTCATGGAAAACCGAAGAGGGACTGTGGACAAGGTTGATAGGTGAAAAGAAGCTAGAGAAATGAGCTGGCAGACTTCAAGCAAGGCTCAAGTAACAGAATAGGGAAGCAGGTCTTCAGCCCATCGCTCTGTGGTATAGCTGGCTGTTTTACGAAGAGGAATCCTCTGTGGCTTTCCATGACAGGGAATGACAATAATTTAACTATTTTAATTCCTATTAATAAATTAAGTGGCCTGGGTCTGAAATTAAATCTCGAGCTACATGGAGCTAAAGCTGGAGGGTTCACAGGAGCTGAGGCAGCAGTGTTACCTTTCCAGTAGAAATGATGATAAACCGCCACTTCCTAACTGGTCTGGATACAGGGATTTCTAGATTCCCCAGTAATTCACTCCACATGCTCAGAGCCAGTGTTAGCAGTCTGGGCAGATGTGCATCGACTTTCATTCATAGGAAAAGATAAATGAAAAAATACAAAACCCAAAAGAAAACTTAACCATTTTGAAGAGTTTGAAGTGAGCCTATTTTTAGGATTTCTCATAATTTTTTCCAGTTTCTTCAACAGGAATTTTAATAGCTATACAATGGAAAGTGTATATTGAAAAGTGGGATTTGGGCTAAAGGAAATTTGTTGTTTTGTTTTGTTTTTTAAAGGGACAATTAAAGTCAACAGCTTTATCCAGAATATTCTGCTCTACAAAGAAATTTAAATCAAGGCAACTTTAGCTATGGAGTCACTATTAATGCCTCTGTAGTTTAAGGCCTCATAACATTGTACAACATAGGCTGTCAACTCCAAAAGTTTCTGCCTCTTTGAACCTGTTCATTTCTAAAGGTGCCACCTTGCCTTCTGCAGATCTATAGTTTAGTTTCAAGTCAGCATGCAATGGGTGTGTATGCATCCATCCATACACAACCAGTACAAGGGTGAGAAGGCAGGGAGATTTTGGATAGTTTGCCCTTGCATCCTTGTGCCAAGGCCTGAGTGGGAAGCAGAAGTCCTGCTACCTCTTGACCTTCCTGCAGGCATATGCTGTCAGAGACCAGGAACCAGAGATCTCCACCCCCAAATGCTTCAGCAGCCAGCATGGAAGGGGAAAACACACTGGACCCACCTGCAAGGCTGGCCAGCTGGTGCACAGTGGCCAGCAGTGTCCAGTCCAAATTCCTTCTCAGTGCTTTAGGCATAGTCCACACCCCTTCTGAGTGCCAAGGGCATAAGCAAGACCTCAGAGATTTGTATGTATTTCTTATCTCTACCTATTGCTTAGCAACAGCCTAACCAAGGGCACATTCTGTGCAACTGCCAGGCACACACATATGGCAAATATGAAACAATAAATGTAACTTTCCAAATGATTGCAGCTAGGAGCTCTGTGGTAGTCAGTCAGTGAACAAAGACGGTAGAAGGTTATCTGCAACATATGTTCTTAATGGTTTTGCAATGCCAATAAAAGAATATTTACCCGAGTCCGTCAAAGCCAGGTGGAAAAGGCGTTCGCTTTCGTTCACAGTGGCTTGCACACAATGCAGACAGCCAAGCAGCACAAACTGTAAAATGAGAACAGTGCCTCAGCTCTCAATGTGCGAGGTCAGAATGAAAAGTCCTCTGTGCACACCTAAGTGCTATGTACACAATGCTCCTTTTCCAATGTTGACAAATGCTGGGTATACAGACAAAGGACTTGAACTCTTCAAATCCACCTTAAACCAAGCTCTGAACACCAGCCAGCTATCAATCTGTCTGCCCAGCTATACTCTCAACTAGCTAACAGAGCATAGCCCAAGAAAAGTTAGGATCCGTTATCATATCAGACTATTGGACTGTATCTGACAGTCCAAGGTTATATTATATTTCTTCCAGGATTATTACACAAGAACTTTTTACCTTCAACCCACTGGGCAATACGTCACGACTATAACCCTCGACTCCAATAACCGTATGCTACATCCTACATGCACCAGGGGAAGTTTCTGTAACCACTTACATATAATATGAATAATCTCTCTCACAGGAGGAGCTTCTTTGAGAACAGAAGGATAGTCACATGCTCAAGCATTTGCAGGCCCAAAGCAGGAGGCAGTTCAATGCATCTTTTTAATAAAAGGAAAATAGAGTTCATTATTTCCTTTGTTTCACTTGCTGCATGAAGCCAGGGGAAGAGCAAACTTCAACTGAATTTGGGCTCAGAGAAATGGCACTTTGTTGCGTCTGGCAGAGTAAGAGACAGTGGGTAAATAGCTTGTAATAATGCTGTGAAAATACCATGCCTTTGTCATAGCAGCTTTAGCATATGAAGTACCTAGGCAATAGGGCATTCCCACAGCTGCCGGCTCTGGATTGATCTGCATTTGTTGCTCATTCCCCCCAGGTCTCTATACTGTGACTCAATTTATCACAGCCATGCAGACTATTTGATTGGATAACAGGCAGCAAAGCTCCTCCTCTTTCATATTACACCCCAGACTGCAGATCTGGGTGGTAGGTGGGATCTCAAGGTTTTGCCCCAGAGGCTTGCCCCAGGAAGTAATTAAATGCAAGGCCTTGGCAAAACCTTATCTGGTCTGCAATCCTGCATGCAATTTTGTTCAGGAAACAAAGATCCTCAGGGGAAAGGAGAGCCTCTTACAAGAGAGATGACTAGAAACGCTTGGCTTATTTAGCATAGACATACAAAGGCCTAGAGAAGATAGAAAGCAAGAGTATAAATACATCAGGACAAACACCAGGGAGGGAGAAGAGCTATTTAAGCTAAAGGACAATGTTGGCACAAGAACATGTGTATAAACTGGCCTTGAATAACTTTAGACTGGAAACTAGAAGTTTCCTAACCCATAGGACAGAGGCTCTGAAACACCCTCCCAATCAGTGTGTCACGGAGACCAAAAAGCCCAACTAGTTTTAAGATGGAGCTCTGTAAATTATATATTGTGATTGCCGAGAGTAGCAAGGCTTAGGACTGAAGGACTTGGAGGGTCCATTCCAGTTTTATTGTTACTATAAAGCAGGTAGGGCAGACAGCAAACTGGTCATCGTCTCTCCCACTAAAAAAACCTGGATGGGTGCATGGTGGGGAGGTGAAGATCTGCTGATCGTCAAGGGGGCTTGAGCAATTTAGCTTCTATGCTGCATAGCTTCACATCCCAGGAAAGCCTGTCCCCATCCGAGGCACAATTCTGCTTGCACTCCTCTTGGTGTGTTGCGCTGCCCCCAAAGCTGTTGTGTCCAAAGGCACAATGAAGCTCTTAATGTTTTAAGCTTTGCCTTAGCTCTGATCACGCATTTCACAAATAAGAGAAAATGTGTACTGTTACGCAGTAAGAAGCCAGCATGTTAATTTATTCCCACGTGTACATGCAGTTCAGTCACAAACAAAACAGCATTAGCTCATAGTTACCATCAACAAGACTGAGACTTAAGCTGGAAGATTTCATAGTGGCTTTCAGGGGCTCTGGGGTTTAAATACCTAGTGTGAGACACCTTAGGCCTAACTATGAGATGTGCTAGTATCCATGGTGCAGATAAAGTGTGCAGCACTTCTGCCAATGAGGTCCACGGCACATTAAGATAGGTACTTAGGAACATAGCAAACAAATGCATCTAAGTTAAATTGTCAGGTTTGAAAAACATGGCTGTATGTTCCAAGTCCAGGGCACCTTCAAGCCCTATGTGAAGCCAGGACCCCAGTGGACTGGACCTTGATTCATTTTTTTCCCCCACTGAAAAGGAAAGGAAACCCCAGGATGCTTAATTGATTTTAAGCTGCTGTCTACATTCAGCACAGAGGGCTAGATTTGGTTCCCCTCACTCCAGGGCAAATCAGAAATAACTCCAATGAGGCCAGTGGGATCGTGCTGCTGGAAGCCCAAGGTGAGGCATAGGCTGAGCTTTCAAAATGAAGGTGCCAGCTCTTCTTCTCACTGGGGAGTCTCCATCACCACCCAGACTAGCCCATAACATAACTGTGCCCATTCATTCCAGAGAACAAACCACCTATTCAACTGTTTAAGTAAGGCCAAGAAAGCAGGGAGGATTAAAACCTTATCTTAAACTCCAGTGACAAAATGAACCACAGCAATGGGGGCATTGTTTTTGGGTGAATAAATATTTGAAAGCACTGATAAAGAAGACTTCACCATGGATTGCCAACCTTAGAGATGGCTGCATTACAACAATGGGAGATGCATTTAGATAAACCACAATGTAAGAAGACATCAAACATATCAAGTTACAGACATCTATCGATTTCTGCTGAGCAGCACCACTGGATATAAATACACATTTCTCTTAAAACAATGAAAGAATGTCATTACCAAGATGAGGGGTTTATTCCTAAGAAGGAGACTACAAAAAAAATAAACTTAATGTCCCTTATTCACTAGGAAGGAATACACCAGCTTCCCCACAGGTTGAATTGGTAGCAAAAAGGTATAGGTCAGATAACTGGCTTAAACATTCCCACTCCCTCTCTTCTTACCTCCCTCTGAGTAAAGAAGCTAGTTCTCCACAATGGCTTGACAAGCTGAACAGCACAGAGCTACTCACAGAAGCAATTGAGGACCAAGGGCTATCTCCACAGCTGCTGTAAATAATGTATTGTCTTCAAAAGATACCAGGTGAGGCTGCGGTGCTGGAGGAAATCGAGTGCTTAGAATCAGGGACTTAGGGCAGGACCCTTTGCAGAATTTCATTAAGCCTAACAATACACTTCTTGGCAAAGACAGCTGCTGCTTGTTCATTGGGATGCAAGCAAACAGTTTGGTATTAGTGAACTAGAGACATAGCAGGGGCCTGGTTCTTCTTCTTTTGTAAGTACTTTTTCCTGGTGCATTTTGCCAGGAAAGAAAAAGGAGTTCTTTCTGATTTACACTGTGGTAAGCAAGAGAAGAAGCAGGTCACCCAGTTTTATAATGTTCTGAGGGGGGCAAATGAGGCTTTATAGAAGGTTTTTGTCTTTCCAAGTGGCTTTTGCATCCCCTCCCAGGGCCTGGCCTGGCAGAAATGCAAGGTTTCTCCAAAACTCAGTTGAATTGGTTTTCAGTTCTGTTTTGGGAAAGGCTACCGTAGGCAGATGGGTGTGAGTTGCAGCTCCTCTGTTACCTAGCAATGCAGATAAGTGCATTAAAGGAAGCTGAGAACTATTTGCATCTTTTGGAACTAGGGAACTGTATGTAATCAATCTGCCTACCGGAGCATTTTGCTATCATCAAACGCTCCTCTGCATTCACTTTCTTCCCCTGTATTTCTTCCCAGCCATGTAGAAGGGATGTGTAAGAATTCGGTTTGTGAGAGGTATGACTGGTGACATGGTACCACATATGTTACAAAATACTGGAAAGACTGAGCAACAAATATCCACATAGGGAGTATCCTGCCTTACAATCCACTTTTCAGTTAAAATCGCAAGAAAAAAATATCTTTACATTATTACTTGAATTACAGTAATGTGTGGAGTCCAAATGGAGATTGGGACCCTAGTGCATTAGGTGCTGTATAAACATTGAGGAAGAGCTAGTCTAGTGCCCTAAAAGCTTCTAACTAGACAGAAGATAAGAGAGTTAAACAGACATACAGAAAAAGTGACTTGCCTATAGCCACACAACGGGTCAGAGGTGGAGGCTGAACAAAAGCCCAGGTCATCTTACCACTATCCTATCCACCAGAACACACCACCTGCCTTGTTTAAAACATACTTCTACTTAGTGCTGGTGAACTTATCTCCTATAATGGCTAAGTAAAGAAGTCCGTCTGTTCTTTAACTTCATCTCAGTTCCTGACCCAGTTCAAACAATGTGTTACGTCCTAGGTTCAAGGAATGCCCAGGACACAGGGCTTCCCTTCACCCCCTGGGCAGGTTGCATTGGAAGTAAGATGTTTTCCATTTAGGCCCCTGCTCTATTTGAAGTGAGCCCGGCAGCACCAGTCACTGCTCCCATACCCCCTTTACAAAATCCTGAACCCACTCATGGTAGGAGCTATGAAGTATGTGTATTGAGAGAGGCCCCACAACCCCATGTTATAATGCTTTGAGTGTGAGATCTTCCACTCGTATGGAGAGCTCTGTCTGCATGATGTTGAAGTCAGTTTTACATCATGCAGCAGGCACTCTAGACAACTGTAGCCCTCAGGAGGGGCCTTGTGCAAGGTGACTATGCCATCAAGGAAGACTTCAAGACTACATTCAACATGAATTTTCACCATTAACAAAGAGCTAAGAATTTGGGCCTGTCATTCTGACCTTAGCGTTATGTGCCGGTCCTTCAGGAAAGCATGCACAGGTATAGGTGTATATGTATGCATATATATGGGTGAGTTTACCCAAGTTGCCCAGCACTCCAAAGATGCAGCAGTGTGTCCAAAGGTTCATGCATTTTGCCTGCATTTTTTCATGAATAGTATAGAAGCAGGGCCCGTAAGAACAATATTCTTCCAGGATGTAAAACGTTCTGGTTGCAAAAGTAATGTGAGTGATCTTAATGATCCTTCTGTTAACATGGTCTTTGACCTCCTGTGACTTTTCTTCTCTCCTCTCTCTTCCAGGTTGAGCAATCAAACAGGGATATCACTTCCCCAGATCTTCTCTGGCAGTTTCAAACCTCTGTAATAATCTAAGTACCACCCTGTAACTGATACTTACCCCAGAAACCCTACCTAGACAGCTCAACTATGTTCAGACACCTACCACAAGCAAGCTTCGTCCTTTGGTGTTGCCAAGCCTTCTCATCTCACCGCAGCACTGTTGTCAAAATTCTGCAATGGCTGGGAAGCCAATACCGAATCCCTCTCTTCCTGCACCCCATATATTATCAGTAAGCAGTTAAAGCAGAAGTGCTGCTACCATGGGGCAGCAATTGCATGCTGGACTTTGATTATTGCTGTCATGGTAATAAAACTTTGCAGTCACTCTGGAAACACGGTGTAGCTGCGATTAGGCAATGCTTCTTGTTTTTGGCAATAACTTGGTAATAAGCAGTGAGAACTTGCCATGGAGCTCCTGGGCCTCGGTTTAAAAACTAGTGCTTAAGTTTCCTTTGATTCCGGTCAGTTTTTGCTGTGAGCATTCAGGTGCAGTTATCAACTAGTTACTAATTATTTGACAAATTTAAACAGAAACGTGAAACATCACCTGTGTGGGGGAAAGGCCATCCGTAAGGTGACTAATAACAGGACGACCCACTTGTCCTGTCCCCAAGCTCCAGTGTTAGCTGAGTGCCCCAAAAGCGGGAAGTGGGGAAGGCTGTGGAGAGTTGCAGGATGCCCAATGACTAGCAACCCCTTCTTGTGCCCCCTGGCTAGAGAGCGCTGCTGCCACTGAATCCCTGCCAAAAGTGCGATAAAAGCAGTCATCTGAACAAATCAATGGGATACCCAGGACCACAGTGCCCTGGGTGGGTGATGAGGGCATAAGGCCTAGGTGCTGACATGGAGGGGCACAAGAACAGAACCACTGCTGCCAGGCAGCTGAGAACAAGCAGAAAGAAAAGAGCAGAGGGCAGGGGAAGGAGCTAAGGTAAGTGTGTGAGGGTCTAACCTGACAACAGCTGCTGCCAGGGCTGGCTCCCTGAGTGCTGTCTTGCTGGGGCTGGTCCTATGCACCCTGCCTGGTTGCAGCTGCTGGGGTGCGGGCTCCCTGGGGGAACCATTCTGGCACCTCTTCCAAACTGGCCCCTGGGGCTGGTGCCGCCCTCCTCCTGCCCTAGTTACATGACTGGTCATCACTGCTGCCCAGCGTGCAGAACCATCTTGCTACACCTTGCTAGGACGAGTGTTTATAATGGGACTGTCCCAGCAAAACCACATGGGGGCATATGGTGGTCCAGGTCTCCATGTGAGGATTCATGGGAGCACTGGCCTCAAGAAGGACCCATGATGTATACCTGGTTACTATGGATGACACACTGGTCTGAAAGGACTCAGTCCTGCATCTACTTTGCACTCCTGTGAAGTGCTTGGCCTTCAAGTCAGGGAGAGTTGGGGTCTCCAGGATTCAGCCCTAATTGAGCAAAACTCTCCCTGATAACACAGGATTTACAAAACTGATTTTTTAAACTTTAGCCCCACCCCTTAAAAAATGGCTGAACCATTTTCATTCAGATTTCTACATGTAGGCTGCAAGCAGACATTGCCTTTGGGCCCACTTAAATTTTTTTATGGTGGCACAAAACACGAGCAAACAGACATCGTAGGCCTTTCTCTTACCACATATCCTCAAAGCTCTGCACCCCCAGACCCTGCCATGAGAGGCGGCCAGCCATGATCCCGCCAGCCACCACCAGCAACAGTGCAGCTGGGTGCCGGCCTGCTGCACACCCCGGGCCAAGGACACTGGGCACAACTGTTTGCCATTGCTGACAGGGAGGCCCGCACTGAGCCACTACCCTCGCCAGCCCCAGACACATGGTAATTCCTGCACTGGGGGCAGGGCTCTCCCAGTCCCCACCCCTGCCCCTGCCCCTGCCCCTGGTCCCGGCCACCACTCCCTGCCCCCCTGCCTGCCTGGCCCACCCCCACTCCCCTGGACCATTTTCCTTCCCCACAACATGTGGAGAGGCAGGACACAGTCCAGGCAGGACACTGCACAGCCCGTGTTCCCATAGCTGGGCGGGCATGGGCCTCTCACACCTAAGGAAGATATCTATGTCGATGCCAGCTGGCCTGGTGGTGGGAAGACATCACCTGGGAGAGGCACTGGGCACGTCTGGAGGCCCGCATTGAGCTGGTCCGGCAGCAGGTGCACCTCCAGGCCCGGGCATTGGAGGCTATAGACACTGACCACTAGGCTCTGGACACCCTCCTTGGCCTGGTGGCCCACTAGCCTCCCCACTCCATGCCCCCCCACCCCCACTCGGGGACCAAAAGACTGACTGATGTAAATAGTTTCCACTTTGGGAAGTGGATTTTTTATTGGTGGTGGGTGGGGAGGGGAGTGGAGGGGCATTGTGTGTTGGGGAGGGAAGGAGGAGGGAGCTCTGTTTGTTGAGGGGGGAAGGATGGAGGTAGGAGTTGTGAGGGTAATAAAGCTTTTTGTTTCACCCATGTTTATGTGCTGGGGGTGGGCAAGGAGTAGGGGATGCACGGGTGGCAGGGCAGGTAGGATGGAGCAGGGTGTGTAAGGGTGGTGGGGTTGGCCAGGGCCTCCCTCAGCCAGTGCCATGGCCCCTGCTGGTGGAGGTGTGCTGTCCTCGGGACTGGGTGGGGGGTGCCTGCTGGGGGCAGAAGGGCCAGCACCATGATCAGCAGGAGTGTGGGCCACTGGTCATCACTGACAGGGGCAGGGGCAGCTGGCGTGTGCTGCCCCTGCACTGGTATGCAGCTCTTGCACAAGGAAGAGGCTGGCCAGGGATCAGAGTCCCCAAGATGGCTGCCAAGTGTTGGTAGCTGGGCCAGGCTTCAACATGAATGGCAAGTGCTAGCAGCCATGTGGCTGGAGGCTGGAGCTCCCTCGCATGGCAGCATGGGAGGGATTTGGGACTAACTTTAGTTCCAAGTCTCTGCAAGTGTAGACACCTGCCAAAAAAATCACTTAATGTGCATAAGCTTAATGTGCATTAAATTTAGTCATGCTTATTTTCACATGTAGACACACCCTCAGTCACTTCCAGCTGCCCTCTCAGGCTAGGAACAGATGTTGCATTTGCCCCTGGATAAGCTGTGCCTGTGTTTGTCTCGGAACAAAAATATTCTGGGATTGGTATGTACACACATTACCTTTCTAATCAGGGTTTCATGACAAGCTGAATTCACTACCACTTTTCTGCCATTGATTCAATGAAGCAATTCTGGGATAACTGTACACATGTACTTTGCAATATCCTGGGGTAAAATTTTATTACCTTTTACCTGGGAAATGTTTTTTTAGGATTTATCCAGGGACAATGGGCATGGACATCTGAACCACTGCATTTCATCCTGGGATAAAATAGTTTATCCCAGGTTAAATGCAACATTTGTTTGCAGCCTCAGACACTTACCCCTCTGTTCCTCTTATCTCTTCTCATCTTTCTTTCCAATTGCTTGTGCTTAATAATATTTGATGTTGTATAACGTTACCAATGTGAGTTCTATCAGTAGTACTTGCAGCAGTATCTGTTCAACAGTCAATATTTGATGATAATAAATATGAGTCTTTTCCCAACGGAGAATAGGAAATAAATATGCCATCTCAGTAACAACTGGTGGCAAATGCTGAGTTTCTAATGGCATGGATTTCATGTACACATACAGCTGGGTGATGATGAAAGGGAGACTGGGAATAGGGGGAGAAGATTGTCCCTTCACTCAGAATCCACTTTTTGGAATTTGGTATGTTGACTGTTTTTATTCTAAAACCCAAGTGTGTTGCTGAAGAAGATGCTGTGCTCTTTACCTAGGCTCTCAATAGTCCGTGGTTGCTCTGGAAAGTGTCTTGTGGGCTCATAAGCTCCTGGACCTGGTATTTTCTACAAAATTGAAAGAAACAACAAGGAATATCAAATAAATAAGGGAGATCTATATTGAATTAACAGAGAAATGCCCCAATAGTCAAATGACAAAAACACTATTATTACTGCAACTCAAATTTGTATTACTGTACAATTGTGCCAAAAGGCCTAAGCAAAGGTTGGGCTTCATCCCACTTAGCGTTGTGCAAACACCTGTAACAACATTAATAATACCTGGCTGTTATATAGCAACACTTATAACCACAGGTATCAAAGCACTTTACAGAGGAGAATTGTTTTGTCCGTTTTATGGATAGGAAAACTGAGGCACACAAAGGCAAAATGTGGCCAGTGACCTTTGAGCAGCCAGTGTTAGATCATGGTAAAGAACCCTGCTCTCCCAAGTCCCAATACAGTACGCTGCCTATGAAGCCACACAACATCCAATAATAAAAAAGACGGTCCAGAAAGAACGTAGAAAAAGACACAGATCCCTTAAATACATACACACGGGCACACCAGTTGGTTTCAACAGATTTGATCATAAAGACAAGCAGTATCTGGATTGTAGTCTAAGAGACACTAGGTGGATACAACACACTGACAGGATTAGCCTAAAGTAATGGTGAGATTAATCTGATCGGTACAATATGAAATGGTCACAGCACAGCAACTGGTCACTCATTGTCATGGGCTTGGTAGAAGACTGAAAATGGGATCTCAGACTAATGCCTTTTCCTTCCCAGAAGCATACTCCTATTCACAAACCCCGCTATTTTATTTCATATTCTTAATCTTTTCATTGGGCCATGATTAAGTGCCTATTATTCTGCATATATTACCTCATCTACTCTGACTTTTCTTTGTCTCTCAAACAGCAAAGTAACTTAGTTTTACTTCCAAAAGGGCTCTCTCTCTCTCATACATACAGACACACACCCCAGGAAAAGCTCTGAAACTGAACTGGCACCTATTACAGCAGGCCACCCTAATAGTGGTTAGATAACTAGAATGACTGAGAGTGACCAGCAGTTACCAACATAGGTTGGATTTATCCCTGGTCCAAAAGGGGAAGATATTCCACAGCTCCCACTAATACTCAGAATAACTAGTATGACTGTGCCCAATGTTTCTTTTCAGCTAGTCTTCCCTTAAAATACTTTCTTCTGTCCACTGGTAAATCTTGGCGAAGGTACGTGTCCCCAGGATACTTCTTTGTAAATCAGTGGTTCTTCACCCATTTAGACTCAAGGCTCCTCTCAGAAAATGCCAGCTCTGAGATTTCACTTTTTTTTATTTTTACTACAGAAAAATTCTAGAGCAATTCTTCTATTGCAAAGAATTCAGAAAGACCCCAACAGGTCAGAACAGTTTTGACGCTATGGATTCCTATTTGAAAACTCTCAGTTTATCTTGTGAATTGTGTGCAGGTGTTTGCAGACCTAACAGTGCTAATATTGTGTGGCACACCACAGCACCCTTGAAAGGATCTCATGGTCCCCAGGGTGCTACAGCACCCTGGTTAAGAAGCCCTGTTGTAAGTGTTCCTTTCAGTGATGTTCTTGAGGAATTCATGTCAAGCAGCTGAGAGACGGGGGCTATTGGCTTATATTTCAAACTACTCACTGAACGGATTGGCAGCAACCGTGGCACTTTGGACTGGAAGCTTGAGCATATAGGATGGAGCGTTTCCTTCTTTATCTCATATTCACCTGGTCCTGGCCCTTCTTTCTGTAACACAATCAAAAATGGATTTCTTTAAAGGTGCATTCCCACTGCCTGGAACAATTCATAGCTTCTCTTCTGGTCCCAGATTAAAGTGAAATAGTCTGTTTAAATCCTGTTCTGCTTGTAATAATTATTGGTGTTACACTGTACAGATCTAAAACTAATGCATATGTACACCACATCAGGTTGCCTTGCATCCTCTCCTCACCACGTGGTTCAGCTAGCACTAGCAGGAAGCAGCCCTTGCACTCCGAAGGGAGGGAAGACCATAACTCCTTCTGTTTTTTTGCACCCTTCTATCTCTTGTTCTTGGACCAGGCACGGTGTGGCTCTAACTGAAATGGGGTTAGAAGCTAGGAATCCTGACTTCCAGCCCTCTGCACACAAAGAACATCATAAGATCACAGCAGGACCATACTTGCTCTGCTACATTTTATAACGTTGCAGTATAATTAGGGTTGAGATGAAGACCTGCAGCTTCATTAAGTGTAGTCTGTTATTAGAATCCCTGTCCAAACATGGCAATCAAGGGATTGATAATCCTTTCTGAAACAGCGGGAATATAGCAAATGAGCAAGAATCCCCCTGGAGATGGGAGAGACCTGAGTTCAAGCGTCTGCCCTGAATCAGGCAGAGTAGATATTTAAAAATATCTCTCTCACCTCTCAGGTAAATGCTTTAGCCACTGGGTTGTTTGCCAAAAAGAACTGGGATGATGTGTCCTTTCTCCCCTCCTCCCTTGTAAGAAAGGCCTGAAATACCTTACATATGGTATGTACCTTGCCGCAGGAGAAGGGTACACAGCTAAGACAGCTAAGTGGAGAAAGGCAACCAATTGTCTAAATGCCACCCTTCTCTCAGCATCTTTCTTCTAGGAACACTGGGTAGGATTCTGCTTAACTAGTTGCTTTCTGAGACACCAAATTTTAGGCATCTTCTCATTCTCATGCATAGTGCAGGGACATTGGACACCCAGTTCAGCACTGGCAATGCGTAGGGGGTGCACACGGGTGCACATACACCCCCTGAGATTGGCCATGCCCCCTCTGAGAGAAGTGCCGGCGGCAATTCCGGGTTTGCCACCAGCACTCCCGCGGTCAGTTGCTGGTGCCCCACCCACTATTAGAAGGCACCAGTTGCCCATGCAGTTCAGCATGCTACTTGTCAAGAGGACACATGAAAATGAAGTGTTATAGTCCTTGCAGCACTGTGTGGGTTTAACAGTCAGCACTTTGTCTAGTCAGGTCACTTTAGTTGGAAACCTAGATATGGACTAACTTTGGGGATCTATCTGCACTTCACTTTTTAACAAATAGGTTTTATGTTGGTGTTGCACATAGGCTTAGTTGGGATAAAATCTAGCTTCAGCCCAAGAGTCGAGTAGAGTCTACTCCCTTGTATGTAGAAGGTTTCTCCTTTCTAGTTTTGCTCAATGTGGGGCTAGTGGCCTCTCTCTAGGCCTGCTCCAATGCATCCCTCCCAAGTTAAGAATACCAGGATGGTTCCATGGCATGTAGATGGACCTCCACGTACTCCTGATTTCATTTTGACCAACTTATGAACAGACTTGAGGCTCTAGTCCCTTGCTCATTTCAGAGAGCTCAGCATAAGCAAACTCCTTACACAGCAACCAAACTCTATCAGATTGTAAAATACCTATGAGCCAAGTAGAAATATTAAAATATAATAATAATGTTTTCAGACATTCCCATCAAAAAGAATAATGAAGCCTCTGAAAAGCCAATAACAGTGTATACCTGATTACAAGATGATGGATTATGCATAGGAACCTACCCTACTCATGGCAAGAGAAAGCAATTTTTGCAGCTTTTTGGCCCGAAGAGCTGATTTTGCAGTCATTTCAATGAGGCCCTGCCCCTCTGTGCTGATTGGTGGGGAGACTCTGGTGGGGGGAAGAGGGACAAGGCAGCAGCTGCCATTTTGGCTGCTGACTGCCCTTCGTGTGACCTGCCCCGTGGCGCTGATTGGTGGAGAGGTACAAGGGGCAGCTGCCATCTTGGTTGCTGACCTTCGTGCTGCCTCACCAGCCAATGCCTTCCTTTCTTGGGCATGCTGCAAGGCCGGGCTGCAGTGACAGTAAGGGCCACTGGCTCCTACTGGGGAGCCAGGATTTTATTTTTATTTTCTTTTTTTGGTTGTGTAACCCAGGTGTACCCAGGTACGTGCTCCCCTCTCCAAATAGAAAGGATGAGAGGCCAGGCGGGAGTGCTGTGAGAGGGATCTGCAAATATAGGTCAACAGCAAATAAATACTGGCAAACCAAAGGGGAGTAATAACAAGGGAGTCAACTATGGGCAACTGGTGTAACCTTAGTCTGGGGGGGTATGTGCTCCTGCAGCGACCAGTCAGTGACCAGGGGCAGGGTCCCCCTGCAGCCAATCTTGCTGACCCGGGCGGGGGGTGGTCCCCCCCATGGCCAATCGTGAGGTGGAGGATCACTGTAGCTGCTTCCAGAAGTGAGAAGTGCCATGGCCGCACTCCCCAGCTGGTGCTTGCAGGGGGGGGGGCTCCTGGATTCAACAAGACAGGCATATATATACACAATATACAACAGTTACATAACAACTCACATTAGAAATAACAAAATGTAAAGCACTACCTACAAAATAAGGCACCTGCACACCCTTCAGGGTATCAATGTCACTGTAAGTACTGGAGACTCCCCTTTGATGCTAGGAGCCTTGGCACAGCTCCAAAAGGGAAGAAGGAAGGGGCCCCAGTACCTCTCAGCCCCTCGTAGGTTTGCCAGGGACTCCTTTCCCACAGGGCCCTCTGCTAGACCCCTTCCAAGGGCTACCTCCCCTGTGGGAACCCTTTCCCCGATAACTCACAGCTTGAATGGGCAATGTGGGGTCCTTGTCACCCTAGCTGGGGTTTCTTTCAGCTGATGCAGACACAGGCCTCTGGCTCCTGCAGGGCCTCCGATCCCTTTCCAGCCTGTGCCCCACTTCTGGTATCAAGGGCTCTGCCTGCTGCTCATGGCTGGTGGCTCAGGCCGCCTCCTGTGGCTCCAAAGTCCAGGTCCCTGCCTGGGACCAGCTGTACACCAAGTGTGCACATGAGTCCTGGCCACATGCCAGGAAATGGTGGACCTGAGCCACCTTGAGTGGCTCTCAGGGTCAGGGTCCCACTGGACTGCGCTGTGCCATGCTGCTGACTCCGGATTCCCAGCCTCATGCTGGGGGGTTGCAGGTCTGAGCTGCCTTGTGCAGCTCCCAGGGTCTGAGGCTCTGTGCACTGCTGTGTGCACCAAGTGGCAGGAGACCCAAGCTGCCTCACAGCTACCAGGGTTTTTCCCCATGCGCTGCACTACGCGCTGATTGGGGCTGAAGCCATCTGCAGCTCCTGTCCGGCTAGAGACGTCTTCAGGGGCTCTTCAGGGCAACAGCATCCTCCCGCTGGGCTGCTCTTCCCAAGTTCTTCTTAGCCCACTCTCTTCTCCATCCCTCGATGTGTCTGCCGTGTGCTGGGCACGCTGCTCCTTTTATTCTCTCTGGAGACTCCACTCCCAGAGTGCTGTTGGACCTGCAAGGTGCAGGCTTCAATCAGGTCCGGGGCTCTTCACCCTCCAACCCCTGGGCAGGGGGAGGGGGAGGGGCAGGGGCAGGGCCAGCCCCTCCCAGTAATTATCTGATTGGAGGACATGCTCCACCAATTACAACGAAGCTCCGCCAAGCCCGGGCATGCTGGGCTGTATCAGTAAGTCTGCCACACTTGTTTTCCTGGAAAATCATGGCCAATTCCATTTTTTTGCAGCAATTGCAGTGGAGATCGCTGTCTTTTGTGGTTTCCATGAAAATAGCAAAACCCCAATTTAAGTAGGTCCCTAATTATGCATCATGCATTGATTATTTTTTTCTAAGTATGTAGTACTTTGTATTGGCCCTTATTGTATTCCATCTGATCTATATCAGATCATTTTCTCAATTTATCAAGGTCATTTTAAATCCTAATCCTCACAGCTATAATGTTTGCTACCCTATCCAGCTTGAGGTCACCAACAGATTTACCAAGTATACACTCATTTCCATTCTCCAAGTGTGTAATGAAAACAAGGATAAAAATAAACTCAACTTGAAACAGAGAAGGACTTCTAGGAAGATCAGGGGTTGAACAACCTCCCTTATGAGATGGTCCTAGAAAGGCTTGGTTTGTTCAGCCAAGCAATACAATGACTGAGAGAGGATGTGACACCTATAAATACTTTGGTAGATAAACACCAGACAGTGAGAGGAGCTTAACATAGCTCATCCAGGAAGGAACCCACCCCTGTCCCTCCAATTAGGGCAACAGGGTTACATTAGGCCTTGAACTCCTCATGACCCATCACCATTCCCGTGAACTCAGCTGCCATGGCTGGGCACAGTTAGACTCAGTGGATGAAATTTTGTCTCCACTGGACTACACTGGAAATTTTGTCTTCGACCTGAGTGGAATCAGGATTTTGCCATGTCCAAGTCCTGTAACTGTTACTGGAAAGCAATAAAATCAGTGGAATTATTTAACAAAATCAAAGAAAATGAGGGTTGTCAGGGACCTCAGGAGGTCACCTAGTCCAACCCCCTGCTCAAAGCAGGACCAACCCCAACTAAATCATCCCAGCCAGGGCTTTGTCAAGCTGGGCCTTTAAAATCTCCAAGAATGTGGCAATCATATTCTACAGAAGGACAGGCTTGGATAAGGACATGTTAAAAAATGGTATTACACAACTGCTCCCAACGAGAACTATTTCCTCCAATTACATAGCGGCCACTGTGACTATATGCCTTCAGAAACTCATGGCTTAAAACTCATTCCTTGGAAAGTTTTACCCAAAATATTTTACATTTTCATGACGTGAGTCACTAAATCAGATATAGATCATCTCAGTGCATTGGGAAGCCTGTTTGTTGCTGCTTTGACTTTAAGCAAACAGCATGTTTAATAGCTTCTTGAAACTGTAAATAAGATGGCACCAGTCAAATATACAGAACAAGCACAGA